AAATTTCCATGTAAAGTGTTACACCGTTAGAACCAAGTTGTTGGCATTAAGTTGCATTACTTTATTGGTAGAGTGACTTGCAAAAATATTCACACACCTTAGTCCTATTTTATTTTTGTTTTTTTTACATTTTGTCATAACAACTACCAGGTAGACTGACAAAAAGTATCACACAGGTGAAATTCAAAAAAAATTTTTTTTTACTATATATATATATATATATTTTTTTTTTTTTTTTTTTTTACTCATTTGTTTTCAACCCCCTTTACACTGTTATCCTTAAATATATTCCAGTGCCATTACCTCTGGAAGTCGCCTAAATTAAAAATTCACTTTTGTTTTGTATAAATCCAACTGTGGTGGCAGCACTTTTCTGCGGGAAAGCTTTACATTGGCAGGTACAGGGAAGATTGAGCTAAATAATCTGCAAACACTTGATTGGAGCAGAAGTACATCTTCCATCAGGACAACAAAAGTAAACGTACAGCAAGAGCGACATTGGACTGGTTTAAATCAAACCAAATTGATCTGCTAGAATGGTCTAGTCAAAGTCCATGAAAAATCTGGGGCAATACCTGAAAATTGGTTTTTACAGAATTTATTTGCTCATCATTTTTGCGTTGTTCTAGCACATAAAATCACTAGTAAAACGTCCATGTAACAAAATGGAAAAATTAAAGTGATGTGAATACTTTTACATGAATATTATCTGTATCCTTAGATATTCACATGTGTTTTCTACATGGCTGTATACAAATCAAAAGGAGCTCTCCAGAGAGGCTACCTATGAGTTGCTGCTTTATACCTGGCTTGTGAAAGATAAGGAAGAGACTGTATTAATCCTCCCAACAACTTGCTATCTCACCAGTAAGGTCCATTGCACATCTTAATGTGGCAAACATAGTCCCTGAAAGGATCCCAGTGATATTACACACGACTCAAGCTTCGTTGCTCTTTGCTTTTTGAGACTGCAAGTGTGGCCAGTTGTTGAATTTGGTCTCCTTGGAAACCTACTAATTTTGCTGCTGCGTGTGTGCTCAGAAGAAGTCAAACACAGTTATGAACAATGGATGGTCTGTTCGCAGTCGTCCTTTCTCCAATTAGTTCTGCTTGTTTGCAGCTGTAGAAATGTGGAGATGAAAGGAAGCAGAAACCAAAGGTGATGATCGCAGCTCTTCCCCAGGAAAATGAATCTTGATTGGGACTGGACGTCTGGATTGGCTGCGTCCTGAGAAGTGAAGATTTTACACCGTTTAACGAGTTTAATAGGACAAGCCATTCCCTGACGAATGAAAGGGAAATGTTCACTGTAATGGAGACCCTTGCAAATATTTTCTTATTTCCCTTTTTTGTAGTATTACATTAAAACTTCAGGTGTCTTCCTGGAATTTTATATGAAAAACCAAAAATTTAAGTTTGTAATTATAGCAGAAGTGTCTTTTGTGCCCTTTATGGGTTTTATGTCAGAATTGGGCCGTAATTGGGTCCATCCATCATCCCAAGTCTTAAAAAAAGGCAATAATTAAAAAAAAATTAATGAATTAACAATGCTAAGCCTGGTGGGGTCCCAAATAAAGCCTGGTGGCCCACCAGGCTTATAATACATTGAAGGAAACTGTCCTCCTGATAATGCTTGACTTGTGTTTGATTTGGTTGTATTTTCCCAAAATGCCCTGCACTGTAGTTTGCTTCCTACTTTTGGTGCAGTGTCCAGTTCACTTGGCAATTACATATGCAGCGTTTACTTTAACTGAACCAAGTTCCCTTTTTTGGTCTACCTCACATTGCGATTACAAATTTACACTTCCCCATACAAACCAGACTTCCTAGAAAAACAATCCAGAGTTTGATTATAGTCTAAACAGGGATGATTTTAAACATCCCTGTTTAGACTTTAATCAAATGGTTTACCAAAGATTATTCTCTTAATCTTTGGTAAACCATTTTTTAAAAAATTATTTAAATACGACATACTTTGCTCGTAGCAAACCAGCTACCGGGACGTCTTTCCTCTCTTCTCTAAAGGCCACATTTATGCTAATGGCTGTCTCCCGCCTGAGCTGTAGCTATCTACATTAATTTTCAGACTTTTATTTGTAAAAAAAAAAAAACTTTTAAATAAACTGTAAGGTATGTTTGACTTATATCTTATAAGTCAAATAAAGTATGTTGAAATTTGCAACAAAATACTGAAAAGTTTAATCATTACTTTTGCAATTCACTCTTTTTGGTTTGCCAAAATCTCAAGGAGACAGTCACAGCTCTGTCTTGGCTTTCAAGACAGCTGAAGTTGTTATATGAAGGTAATGGTGTGTGTAACGACGGAAAAGTTGTAAAATAGACATTGGCATTAATTAGACTTTTGATGGCTAGCAAACTGCTACTTGTTATGAAACAACTCTTGAGTGAAGGAGATCCCACTTAAATGAAAAATTTAACAAGCAACTATTAACTTTTGTGTTTAATGAATTAATAAACATGCACATGAGTCAGCTTGAAAGCATTAAGATTATGAGCAAAGCAAAAATGCTCTTTTTTTCTGCTAACATGATTTTCTACTATTTGGCCTAATATATGACTGCATCAGCTTTACTGTTGCTTGAAATTGTGTTTTGCAACCTTTTGTAGTCAGGGTGGGTGCTGTGGGATTTTTGGTGCTTTACTCATTCGGACGTATTTTTTTTAATAGTGCGAACACAAGCAACAGATTGGAAATATTTGTGCTGTATGCATGAACAAGGTGGAAATTTCAGATGTAGACGGTTTAACAAATACTTTACAGCAGTTGTTCATTCTTTACTCAGCTTAACAGAGTCCCGATCGAAGGTGCTACATGGTTGTTTTCTCTCCTGTTTTGTCAAAGTCCATACAAAACAGCTCTTTGTCAATTCGACGCAGCAAGAGCAGACATGTCTTCTCTCTATTGCGCCTTCTAGAAATAAATTCAGTTAATCTGTTCTTACAGATTTTTGCTCTTTGCACGCATTCTGGGCAGAAACATTTTTTTCTCAATTCAATTTTAAAAAACTCCTTATTGATTCCATTTATGGAAATTTAAATGTTATGTGAAGTCAAGATTCTTCAGAGATGTTGCTTAAGGCTGTGGCAGGGAAGATTTCTTGTTGAGGTCTTAGTTACAGTGACTCTGAAGAAACCTCTGACTGAAGATTTTTCTAGTACATTTGTTAAGAGGACGCTCAAGGTTGTGCTATACTGAGGGCATTAAACGATCAACCATTTAAAATACTAAACAGCTTGGGTCTAAAGACATCAACAATCTGACTTACATAGCATCTAGTCTAAAACAAGCTATAGTAAAGGTCCAGTGGTTTGATGCAGGTACTTTGCTCTCTGTGTTTAAATTCCACTTTATCTCCATCTGATCTCTTGTCAGCGCTCGCAGCCCGGGAGCATCTGACTGCATAGTTTCAAGGTGAAAGTATTTTAGGCACTTTTAGAGGATGTTCAGTCCAGAGGAGAAAAATCTGTCCAAAGCACAACCTCTGAACACTTCCCATTGGCAGCCCGTCCTAAAGTGAGAAGCTGTCGACATGTTTATCATATATTTTATTTGCATTGGGACATATTCTTACCTTCTTGCTTTCTCTCAAACATTAATGCGCTGAGAGTTTGAGTTGTATAGACTTGATCATCTCTTTCATTTGCAGGTGTGAGCCGCAGCAGTAGGCTGGATCACTCGCTGTTTAAAACATAAGCGGCAAATTTCACTTGACATTCAGTCGGCTGCCGAATCAATACAAAAGAGACATTGCAAAGTTGCTGTGATAAAAATAGCAAATAAAACCAAGTTATCACTTTGAAGTCTTATTTTAAGCCTATTTTTAGCTCCCAGACATGCACTGCATATACTGATGCTACCTCATCTCAGTCCATAAGGCAAAAACGGTTTTGCAGATTTCTTTTTTTACAAATGAAAATCTAAAAGAAACCAAGAGCTTTCAGAAATCAATGATTTAGTCATATCTAGTTTGCAGATATTCTGACACTAGAAAGTACACAGCATTGTGAAGATCAATGACCATGTCAAATGACATAAAAATAAACATCTTGGCCTACATGTGATGGAAAAGAGACATCAAAATGAACACACATCCCCACTATGAATCGGTGGAGGGAGGATCGCTCCTTTAGACTAGCGGCAGCAGCAACAGGCAAACACTTGGTGGAACTGCACATCTGCTGAACTTACCATACAAACTACAAGTCAGTCCAACACTCCATATAAGAACAAGTATAAACAGCATAATGGTGGAGCATTGTTTTGATGACATGCTGAAAGGGAAAATGTCACAAAGAGTAGGAGCTTCTTATAGAGACAGAGGTCCAATGTCAAGAAATTGAATGGTGAAGTCAGGTTTCTTAAGTTATGTTTGATATATATTAAATTTTTATTACAATTGAAGGTAATAGTTACTTTTTTAGGCTCTAAAATGGAACAATGTGGTGGAAAAATACGTAAGTCTGCCTTTTTAATGAGAAAACAGGTGGAAGCTAATTGAAAGATCAATGCGGAATAATCCTTGAAAGCCAAAAGACAAGCAGTTGTTTGACAGATGTCCAGGAGAAGCCCCATCTGAAGTTTGCCACAGGTCATAGAGTCGACACATCTAACATGTAGACATAGTTCTGTTCAGTTGAGGTCAAAATGCAACTTTATGGCATATATCTAAAATACTATTTGTGTGGAGAACTGTTACATTTGAATCGTTTAGATCAAAGCATACCATGTGTTGGATTGGCGTAATCAAAGTCGAGTTCAAAATTCAGAAGAAATTGGTGGCAAGATCTCTAATGTTCTCAGATCTGAGAACATTAGAGATCTCATTACAATGCATTAAAATCAGTGAATGGAATGTGACAAAATGAGAGAAAGTTTGAGTGTAAATATATCTACAAGGGTCTGTGCTGGCCTCATTTTCTTTGAGCCAATGATTTTTCCTTAACTTGACGTGTGTGTGTTTGTGTCTTTCCTTCTGCAGGAGGTGCTGCCTGCTACTTTCACCCGTCAGACTGTCAGGAGAGCTCATGGCCTACGGTCAGCAACCCACTCCACGCTCTTCACCCAGACCACCACTGCCCTGTCTTCACAGGTTAGTGTTCTGCATGCCTTTGTGTGTGTTGGTAAAAGAAAGTGACATGCACAAATTGATTCCTCATTGTTTGGGTTATTGATTTCTCTGCCATTTCACAAACTCAAATGAAAATCAATATTTTATTGAACCGTGATCAAGCTAGTGTTTGGCCTATTGATGGGTGACAGTAATGAGTCCCAGGAATGTCAGGCTTTTCTGAAATTTCATCATTTATTGCACATGTTGAGTCATTTTTAAAGGTCAGCTGGGAAATTTCTTGATATATTCTGAAGCCAAGATTTCGGCCTGTATTAGTCCGGAAAGCCAGCTGGATATTGAAACTAGTGTCATTCTGCCACAGAGACGCAGTTTGTTACCATCAGCAAATGTTTAATGTTTCATCTGTTTGTGGAACATGTTGCTGTTCATTCAGAAAAATCTCACATCAAGCAGCAGTGGGCTGCATCAATGGTTAAGTATTCACTTATAGGCTTCAGCTTGTGTTCAGTTTTGTTTTAAATGAGGAAAACGTTCAGTTTATTTATATTTTTACAGATATTCACTTATTCAGAAGTGAGATGTTTTTTTTACAGGCAGGTCTCCAGTGTGTCTGCAGACGGGCACCAAACTGTTGCAGAGTTTCAGCTTGAGGATTGGTACCTGAGACCTTCTAACCAAACATGACAGACAGTTCTAAGATCTGCACCTTCTCACCATCATCACTTTCTCCTTCACTCCCTTCTCTTCCTCAGAGCACAACTCTTATTGGTCTGTGTTGCTATGAGTAAAGGCCAGCTGGAATCCAATAAAACAGATGCATTAGGTTAAAAAGATCGGCTGAAGGTTGAGGTGTATTTTTTCATATTTATTTATTTTTCCAGGAAACACACTTGGCCCAGTTAGCAGAGCTTGCATGGGGATGAAAATTTGATGATGAGAGCAGGATATTTGTTCCTTGAGTGCTTGCAGATCTGTGAATATCGGTGCATTATCTCCTCTGACCGTCAATGCAGGGTGTATATAAGCACTCCTGCTGCATTGTCAGCAGGAGTGCTTATACACATATGTGTATAAGCATATGTATTCATGTCATTGGGTTATGTCAAACATAAAAGGACATTGTTGGGTTTTACAGGGTGTTGTGGTTGAAAGATGAGTGGCTCCTTTCTGCAAACTGTTTACATTTTGCACAGGCTCAGAAAGGTCAACATAGTAAATATATGCATTACATCAGGGCTGTTGTAAACGATTATTTTAGTAATTGAGTAATATATATATTTTGACGATTAACGAATCATAAGTGTAATCTGGAATTTTTGCTTGGGTAGCTCCTTTTTTAAATAGCATTTTATTACTTAAAATACAATACTTCTTGAACATCACTCACATATGAAGCATGATTTTTTAAAATGCAAATATAGATGAGAAATAAAACATTCCACATTAACTTTTAAAAACTAAAATGCGACAATGGAGGTGGAAGATATAACATTGATTTAATGATTTAACAGAAGCTAAAAACAGCTAAAGCTTCACTAATAACGCTGCAGAGAGGACAGTCAAATGTTTGGAAGTAAATGGCACTTAGTATTCATCAGCAGCTCATTGGTGGAAGTGAGGGCTTTTCACAACACAGAAAAATCACCTGGTAGAAACACTGTTCGCTAAATAGTGAAACATAATTCAACAAGAATTAGGAATGCAAACAATCTATTGACTTGCAGCTAACTCTCAGGTAATTTTTTAAAATTAGATTACAATCAGTTCCAGTGAATGAACTAATAACGCATGCTTAGACTTTATTTCAGTGTTGTAGTTTGGACGCCATCCAGCAGAGGGCGCCACTTTTGATCCTTAAGCTGAGGTGTTTTCAGAGGAAAAAAGATGGCGGAGAGTGCGTCCCTGACCAGGAAAGTGAAACGGTCCAAGCAGATTCTCATGTGTGATGCAAAATGCCCTATACACGGTTCTGTTTAGAAATATAAACACTCGACGGGCTCAAGCAGTTTCTCTCCAATTTGTTCGCAGAAACTGAATATTTCTGTTGATGGAGGATTAAGTGTTTTATTCTTTTCATCTTTTTCTCTTCTATTCAGCAACCTAAGAGGTTCTTGTTTGGTTATATTTTATAAATATATATAAAGTTAATAATCTGAGTATTATACTGATTGTTTATTGAGTCAGTATTTTTATAACATTTTCATGTTATAAAAATATGTGCATAAAAATATGCACATATGTTATGTGCTTTAGTAAAAAATATGTGCTTTAGTAAAATTATATTATGAAAAATGAGCCCAATTCGTGTTATGGAGAAATGGTAAATCCCCCTTGATAAAAGAGAAAATATGGTTTTTTTAGGAAAATGACTGATCATCATTTAATCGTTTGTCAATAGATAAGTACAATCATATCTTTAGATTAACTTACTAATGAATGACTTGCACCCTTAGTTACAGCCCTACATTACACACATCGCTGGATAGTAAAAAGGTGTCTGCTGTGGAGTCTTGGCCTTATTCACAGGGGGAAGAAGCAACACAACTAATGGTGAGCTTCTCTGTTGACCCAAGTGTGTCTCCTTGTGCCGTGTATCCTCCTGAGGGAGCTGTTTGTGCAGAGGGCAAGGACTGGAGGGAGGGAGAGAAGAGACATGCGAGACTCAGCAGGGTGGGTCTGCATTGCCAGGTCCTCATGCCTCAGTTTGGTACAGCTGAAGATGATATTGTCATAACAGGATTAACTGGAGGAAGCAGATATGCTGTATGCAAGCTTTCTGTGCATAATAAAGTGGCTCTAAACCCATCTGTCAATATGTGTTCTGCACTGTTGAGTCTTTTTTTTATTTTGCAGCCTCTCCTCCATATCTTTCCTCTGTTCTTCTGCATTGCTGCAGTATGATACACTTGTCTTCTCCTTGCCAAAGCTGGCACTCTCTCCTTTTCTCCCTCCCTCTTTCCTTGTTTTAGCATCCGTCGGTTTAGCTGCAGCTCCCGCGGGGTTCCTGTGGGTCACGGCCGCGTTCACCCTCACGCGTACAGGGCCAGCCTCTGCAGCGCCGCAGTTCTCGGATAAACCTTCCGATGCGTCTGCAGCTCAGCTCCTTGTGAAAAAGAACGGTGACAGTTGTCAAATGTCAAAGCAGCGGGAGGACGAGAGAGAAATCTCAATGAGGAAGAAACAGAGATGTTTGTTCCTCGCTGGAGCTGAGCCATGTTGCTTTCGTTCAGGAGGGTTGGAGCTGAGGGATGCTCCAAAGAGTAGATGGTTAATACTGAAGCTGACAAAGATGGAGTACGAAGAACATGCAACTCTTTGGGGGGGGAAATGCATTATTCCCCCCTTTTAGGCACGTTGCACAAACACAAAATCTTAAAACATATTTTGGTCTAGTTTCTAGTGCAAATATCTTAGTGCACTTGCAATAAGACAAAGCTAACATGATGTAAGAGCTTAAGTCAATAACTCCGTATTTACGAAAAAAGGACTAGTTATATGTGAAATAATCTACCAGTGGAACAAAACATTTTGACTTGTAATATGCAAAAAAATTATTATGAACTCAAAACTACTACTTTTTCAACAATATAAAGAAATTATTAACTTAAAAATAGCTCCTCTAATGTGCTGAAAAGATACTTGAAAGTTGGTCTTGTAATAATAATAATAATACCACAAATTATTGTTATTGCCCAGCCTTAATGGTTCACCCTGAACACTACGACTCCAGCATCTTTCAGTTTAATAGCATTCAACCATTGTTGTTTATTTTTACAAAATATCCAGCCAAATTTATGCCTGAAGCTTACTGACTGAAACACATTAATTGTAAATGTAATGTCATGTAAAAAAAAAAAAGATGATCAATTGTTTATATTATTTTTAAAAAATCAACTTTGGCTATTATTTTCAATCCTACTCTGAAGTGATGTTTCAAATATTTGCTGCTCAGCTGCTGATTTGTGGTTAAGTTGAAACATTTAAAGAAAGTCATCCTCCTTTTTACTCCAGAACATCTGTCAAACAGACCCTCAGCAGACCTAAATACTGGAGAGCAAAGGACAGATGTTAAGAAGATTGTTTAGTCCCTGTGTAAAAGCACAAAATGTTTAACTAATGAGTCAAAATCCCAGCAGCTCTAATTAACTTCTTTTACTGGAAATCCTTTCCTCATGGAGTATTTCGGGAGAAAGAACTACAGATTAAAATTTGACGATTTCGATCGTTTCATAAAACAAATGCCTGACATTGACCTGCTATCCCAGATGCAACAAGCTCCCCAGCTATATCAAACTTTTGTTTCAGTCAGAGGATCTGAATTTATCGAGTGTCTCCTCGTCAGTTTCTCCTTTTATGGGGTTCTGTCTGAGAGTGACATCTAAGTAGATCGTAAACAGCCCAGATATGTCATTTATCTTCCAAACAGCGACACACTCTGATTAAATCTCATTTTGCTTTATTTGTTCGGGTTTTAAAATCACCAAAACTGAGCTATTAATCTATATGAAGGAGGAAACCCTCTGTAGCACTCCTGGAAATTTAATAATTAAAGAAATGTTTAATTTTCTCTATTATGCCATTTGGTAAACTGCTTTGGACTTTCCTATGTTTTATCAGATGATAAGAAATAAGTCCTAAAAAACACAGCTCACATCTGTTTGGTTCTGCTTTTATAATTTCTAAACTTTCAGTTTCAACAAACAAAATCCGGGGCACGCCGACAGACTTACTGAGCTTTAATTAACTCTGTGCCTAATTGGGAAGTCGGTTCATTCTCGTGTAATTGCCTGTTTTTAGTGACGGCGCTCAGTGAGACGAGTCTTTGCTGCTGATATCAGATTTTCAGGTACCATCTGTCAGCAGACGGGACAAAAGTTGAGAGAGCCGGAGTTCGAATATTTCAAGGTTTCATGTCAGTGTAGCGCTGACTCAAACTGTCAGCTGAAGGTAAACAAAAACAGCAACTTCTTCAGAACTGCTTTCAGGCTAAATTATCTCATGAATGATCTGATTTAGAC